AACCAAACAGGGGGAAAAGCTTTCATTAACTATCAACATACCACAACTCTACTTGATTGTTTGGAAGCAACTAAGAAGAAACATCAAAAAGGAGAGGTAGGCCAACATTAACGAGGCCTTATACAGTTAACAGATGTGGCAATGGAACAGACACAATGATGGAAAATGATTCATTTAACGAAGCTTAAATTGTTGTTTATATGACAAAATATGTTATGGAATACAAGTCATTTGAACAATTAATTGTGTGTTTGGTAGGGATTTTTAGGNAACCAAACAGGGGGAAAAGCTTTCACTAACTATCAACATACCACAACTCTACTTGATTGTTTGGAAGCAACTAAGAAGAAACATGAAAAAGGAGAGGTAGGCCAACATTAACGAGGCCTTATACAGTTAACAGATGTGGCAATGGAACAGACACAATGATGGAAAATGATTCATTTAATGAAGCTTAAATTGTTGTTTATATGACAAAATATGTTATGGAATACAAGTCATTTGAACAATTAAGTGTCATAACAGCCTAATTGACAGTTCAATCACATATAAATTATTCCTGATGCCATGTATATCAATTTTTTTGCACCATTAACTGATTTTATACTATCAAGCCAAATACCAAGCAAGAATAAGTGCTAATGATTCAGTTTCTGATCAAGCTAACATTACTAATAATTATATCCTAGGACTAAATCTATAGCCAACAAAAGAGGGTCTTAGAAAATCTCAATATAGTTTGTGCTTCTATTCAGTTAATTTAAACAGTCAAATTCTGTTTTGGTAGAATTTCTCGATTTCCCGCAATTAACTCATCATTTAAAAGACGTCGGTATACTAAACATTAATCCAGCCAGAAATAGGGATTTTCCAGATGAAGCTTAAATTTTGCATACAAACCCTACTTGCCTGACTACAACTAAAAACAATCAACAAATGTAAGTTCCCACTTCATTCCGTTTCAATTGAACTGTTCAACTCAATTTTTATAATTCCATTCCATAAAAAACAGTAGGTATTATCAATAGTTTGTGCTTCTATTCAGCTAAATTAAAAAGTCAAACTCTAGAATTTCTCAATTTCCTGCAATTAACTCGTCAAAAAAAGTTAGTTAAATGACGTGAATCCAGCAGTTCCAGATCAAGGTAAACTTTTGCATGCATATCCCATTCCCCTCATTACAACTTTAAAAAAATCCGTTTATAAGTTTGCACTTTCATTCAGTTTCAATACTACCGTTCAACTCACTTAATTCGCTAAAATTTCATCCCATTCCGTTAATAAAAAAATTCAATCACAAACATACATGAAAGAAACCTCTTTTTCAATCAGCTTGGTGAAAAAGCGTTCGGCTTGAACAGCTGAGACGTCTCCACGGTAGTCTCGCCACACCAGAACCCTACCCTTTATGTCAAGTAGGAACAGCGCCGACGCTGCTCCCGCCATTTTTCTTCCTTCGCCTATATATTATGTATGCAATTTCAATTTATCGATTCAACACAGATCGGAGATCGGGTAACAGATTGACGAGATCTGGTGGCAGTAATTTTTGGAAATTCAGAGAGGAATTGAGTGATGAAATTTGGATGAAACAACTCTCTTAATCTTTTTTGTTACAGCATTAACGATCATACAAATTGTGAAATATGTTTCGTTTAAAAGGATGATAATAAAATCAGACTGTTCTTCAGGGGTAATTAATACACCAACCAGTGACTTGTTTGCACAAAATTTTCAAGAAGTCGCTGAACTTCAAACAATTCCCATTAATCACTGAACTTGATAAAAGTTTTCTCATTAATCACTAATTGATAAATGTAATTATATTTTGTAAAGTCCAGTGATTAACAAGGAAATTTTTAAAGTTCTCAATGATTGATATGATTAAATTTTCAAAGTTCAATAACTGACGAGAAAACTTTTGAAGTTTAGCTACAGGTATCAATCCGGGTGGTCCGGGCCGGATCTACCTGCCAACATGTGAGCCCGGTAACAGACCGCGTGAAAAAAGGTCCGCCCGCTGCGGGTTTCGGGCCAGTTATGGGTCGGCCCACAAATTTGGACTACAACCCAGTCCCGCCCGCTGACACATTCGGGTCGAGCCCATGCGGGTC